TTTACAAACTCTAAGGGCTACATTTGACTTGCTATCTCTCAATTTTTTTAAAGCTTAAGGTCTTCCTAAATTTCCAAAGAAACATTGCTAGCTAAGTGAATACATAAGTTCGACAAATAAAGGAGAATATATTGATGCACCAAAAGAAGATATATATAAAAGATAAGACAAATATATAAGTAGAGGAATAAGAGACTTACGAGGGTGTATACATCAAGTATTTGAGAGGGGGGAAGCTGGAGAACATCCATTTTGGAATTATCTCAAAGTTGCAATGGCCCATGTTGTTCATAAAATCAATATAAGTAATATATCCACCAAATGAAACTATTGAAGCAGTCCCAGTTAGCACAGTTGTGAGAAGTGGTATGGCAAATAGCAAGAAGTATGCTATATGCTCTGCAAATGGATGAATCACAGCTGCGAAAACACAGAAATTAACTTTGTAAGGTATTAATACATGGTTTTTTTTTCATTGTTATATGGTGGAAAGTGTCATAGAAAATATAGATTAAATTAAACATCAAACATAATAATTGCACTTTTGTCTATATGTTCTTAAGGGATCTTTATAGAAATAATTAGCCACATTCACTTTTTATTTTTTTCTAGCTGGTACACATATATTAAACATGATGATATTGATATAATATGTGGATATACAAATATTATACATATATGCCGCCTATTTTTAGTCTAAGCGGTCGGATGGACGGCTATTTAGATTTATTATTCTTAAAAAATCATGAGCTATTAGCTACTCCATTTATTTTCAATGTTAAGAACTTCAAGTTTTCTGACTACCTATATATGTAGACCAATTTAAAGAGTCATAAAGAGCCAACTATATTGCTCTTTCATTACTTTTATAATACACTATTGTATTTAACTATTTGTTTGTTTATTTTTTTATCAAATGAATATATTAACTTAGCAGTTCTTTAATTTGTTGCTCTCAGGTTCTTGTTTATTGTTAGGTGCATCTTTGCGGACCTGCATAACGTGCAGTCCTCCATAAATGGGACAGAATTTTAATGCGCGCGATAATACTTTTTTAGAATTAAAATCCCACCACAAAGGTTGACTGCCAAAACAATGAGGGCTCTTTAATTACAGGATTGTTGTGTTTTTTATCTATAGGGGAGAATGAGATAATTAATCCCGAAATAATTAATTATGAGATGATTTGTTTTCGTCAAAATAGCACGATATAGTCAGTTTTCGGACTGGTCATTCAAAAATAGCCACCATTTACGAAGTCAATGAAAAATAGCCACTATTTTGCTGCAACAGAGACCGGTCCCGCATAATATACGGGAGTTCGATGCATCTGTGTACGAACTCCAGCATATTATGCTGGACCGGTATACTTTGCTGACTCCTGTATAATATACGGGAGACTGGAGCACCGGTGCTCCAAACTCCAGTATATTATACTGGACATTTATACTTGCTGGAACTCCAGTATATTATGCTGGAGTTCTAGTGTACTTATGCTGGAACTCCAACATATTATGCTGGAGTTCCAGCATAGTTATCCTGAAACTCCAACATATTATGCTGGAGTTCTAGCATAGTTATCCTGGAACTCCCGTATAATATGCTGGAGTTCAAGCATACTTATGCTGGAACTCCAGTATAATATACAAGCGTATTTTCCGGGTTTTGAACAGTGTTTTCGCTCAGATTTATCTTTACATGAAAAGTGACTAAATTTCGATTACTTTTGAAATTGAGCTATTTTTGAATGACCTGTTGTAAATCTGACTATTTTTAAATTTCGCTCAAGTATTGGACTGTCGTTTTCCATCAATTTACCGAGGCCCATGCTTCTTTTCTGCACCTGTGTGCTTAAATTAGAAAGGGTTTGTTTTCAAAGAAGATTTGCTCTGAATATGGTAGGGTTCATATCGTGCCAGCTTGAAATTTTGAAATTTAGAAGAGAACGTGCTAGAAAAATAGGCCTTCAATTCTATAGTTAATGCCCCAACGTCATGTCTTCATCTGTATACTTCACCTAACAAATTAATATTTTTAATTAACCAATTCCGTAACTGAATCAACCCTTCAAAATTTTGTATCATCATATTTAACTTGACGTAAAATTTAAAGAAGAAAAAAAATACTTGATACATACAAAAAAAATACTCTTAAAACTTGCTGTTTTAAAACATGTCATAATATTTTATTACCATAAAAATATGTCATTAATTAAGGATGTGAAAAGTTTTAAAGTTAACGATTCTTCTAAATATAAAAACATGTTACTACTTTATTTAAACAGATTAAAAAAGAAAAGTGTGTCAAATGCTCTTGAAAGTTAATCAAATGTATCTGTTGAAATTGAGATGACTTACAAGTAATGGGTTCAGTCGCAACGGAGGAATGATGATGAGAATGATATCGAGAATAAAGGTAATGGTGGTGTAAAGCTCTGTGAAGCCAGTAGTAGAGAAATTCAACTGGACCAATATGGAGCAAAGCTGTCATAATGATCCCATCCGTCCTCCAAATAGGCATGTGATGAGACTGCTCCAGCTTTGTGTATCCGTAATAGAACAACAATCCGTTAAGTATGATTTGATCATCCCTGCAAATATAAACTCAGTTATATAAACTAATTTATGTTATATATTATCACTCCGTTCTAATTTATTCAAGTTGTTTGATTAGATACAGAGTATAAAAAAATTACTTTTGAATCTTGTAGCCTAAACATGTCATAAATATTTTTACGGTTATAAGATCATGCCATTAAGCGTAAAATAAGAAATTTAAAGTAAAATGAGTTCATGAAGAAAATATTTAAGCCAACTAAATGTGAAAAATTATCCTTCGTATCAAACACACCATGAAATAAAAAAATGTACCGACACCAAAATGGGTCTTGTAGCTACAAGGGATTTAATTATGCGCCGCGTGAGGAGCTTCTTAATGAATGGTCGCTCAGGACTCCCATGCAAAGATAGATAAGTGTCTTTTTCAGAAACCTAACTTAGTGTGTGCCCCCACATCTCCAAGCTTGGTGCTATTGTTATTATGTAATGTACTCCTTAATCTCTAAGATTGGCTCTTTTTGCCTATTGGCATTTACTCAATAAAAATATCTCAGATAGACTGATAGAGGCATGTGTCTGACTGAATAACGCTCTTAAATTTTCCAACCATATTAGCATATTATAGACAAAATATTAAGGTTTATGTCAAGATATAGTGTATGAAATTGTGGGAGGGGAGGGGGTTGGCACTAGTGGCGTAGTCAGGAATTTCACCAAGAATGTTAAAATTTTAAACAAGAATAATTTTTTTTGTGGATGAATGGTGTTTGTAGCTTGATTTTTAAATTATAAAATTTATTTAAGAAATAATTTTTAGTTAAAAAGTTACTTTTGAGATTGGTTGTTTATTTCTACACAAATTTAAGTTTTAAGAGATCTTATTAGCAAATTATTAATTAGATTGCAAAAGAATCAAATAGACCACACATGGTTGTCTTTGTTTAGTTTTGGCAAACAAAATGGTCAGAGCTTTGAACCCGGGAATAACACATCACTTTGAACACCTTGAGCCACTAGACTGTCACACTCAATTGTGTTAAGGGTGTTCAAACTATAATATACAACATATTAAAGTAGTATTTAACTTATATATGCAGTATTATTATTTTTCGGTAAAGGGTGTGCGTTTGACCACCCATGACATAGGGTGGCTCCGCCAGTGGTTGGCACAAAAGCACTTTGTCAGGGTATTGTTAAAAGGAAAAAAACATGACAGGCATCAAGATGCAGGAGGCTTTTTTATTTTTTATTTTTTTTTAATTCGTAATATCTCCAAATATAGCTAGCTCTCATTGCATAGAAGAAAAAATATTTGGTACTGCATAAAAGCACATAGTATATTTTTTCCTGCAAAATTGGCGAGACACTTTAACTCTCCAAAATAAACACTTTTTTGGGGAAGAAAAGAAAAAACAAAAGACAGTTTTTGTTTTCTAAAAGTTTGACTAAACTGGCTGTTAGAAAAGATACGTACCAGTTTCTTTCTCTGTCAATTTGATCAAATTCAATGGTCTTGTCAACAATTCGGTTATCGCCCTTGGCAGTTCTGTAGCGAGATACGGATATCCATATCTGATTGTGAAGCATTCGGAAGAGTAGAAATGGGAATATAATTAAGTATGTCATATCCCTCTTGCTTTCATCTTCGCTCATGAAGAATGAGTTTAAGCTGTGAGTCACATATGGTGCCAAAACCACGTACTACATTCAAACAAAATAAAGCCCATGTCAATAATTAATAACGTCATAATTCAACGCCCAATTGTTTGTTTAAACTATTTGTACAGACGAAAGAAGGCAATACATGGTGATAAGTTGACAATGACTACCGCACATCAGAGAAAAAATCTACGAGAATTAGTGGTATATGGGACTCAAATGTACACTGTGCAATATGCATGATTGCTACATATTTGTCCTGCTTATTGGATGCATTCAAGGACTAGGTTTTCTTTAGCAACATAGAGAAAAAATAAGAAGATAGTTTCTTAAAATCCAACTTCTTAACCATACATGTTTTACGGTATAATTTAGCATTGGCGAAATTAGAAATTTCATTAAGGATGCTCAAAGTGTATATATATATATATATATATATATATCCAAAAGTAGAATTTGACCTATATACATAGTCTAAGTTTTCCTAGGAAAGGTGTTCAACAGACCACATCGATCATCCTTCACTTGCTGCAGTGCCGCCTTTGTAGTTTAGTATACATAGATATTTGGACTATAAAGGGAGAATAAATGAAACGGAAAATTCAAGAGAAGCCATGAGAAGGAAGATGAGTCCGTATATACCTTGAAGTTCCCAAGCCATGTCCATGGCCATTCTGTTAGAATGCCTGGTTTAGAAGCCATGTTTTTGTGATGTTTAATGACGAGTTTAAACTAAAGCACTCTCTAGCTTTACCCAACCTCTTTTCCTGTGCCCTTTTGAGGCTTTGCTTCTGGTTGGACAGAACTGCACTATATAGAAGTCCCTTGTAGTGGCTAATTAAATATTGTCATTAATGTGCTCTCAACGCTCCCTAGTTGCTATGTGACACGCATCTCTTTTACAACCATCACTTTTACTAATTCACCTTTACTTCCAGGCTCCAGCTTGCAGAAATTCTCTTTGAAGATTATCCACCGTGCATAGGTCTAATTTTTGGATGTGGAACATCTTTGACCGCAATGATTTATAAAAGTTATTAGACCTCGACCTTGTTTAAATGATTTGAATTAATCTAGAAAATAGTAACTGGCCTCTGATTAGTATTAGTTTTTCATCACTTGATCTAAATCGTTCAAATCTTATTTCAATAAGTGCGTGCCTGTGTTTTTTAAAATTCTTTTTACAATTACTTATTTACTCTGAAGAGGTTTGAATTATCACATTTTTGGAATTTGTATCTTGTTTCATGTGTTTGAGATTTTTGATAGGTTGTAGTATATTTTGAGACTTGTTAGTTGATGGTTGGCTAGAAACTCACATTTTAAATTATATTTCGCCCTCTAGTTACTACACTTTAATTGTACTTGAGGCTAATTGTTAGTATTTTGTACTTTTTACGTGTGTTATGTTGTATAGGATGTAATTTCGAGTTGACAAGCAAGTTTAGAGCTAAAATAAATGAATTGGAACTTTAAAGCCTGAGTAGAATCCCAAAGTATTAAGGAGGGATCGTGTTCGAGGGCTAAGTCTGGATATTAAAAATTGAGAAAAAATAATTACTCTGGAAAAAATACACACCGCGCCGTGGGGCGCGTCGAGGGGCGTGGGGTGCTAGTACAAAATTGTTTCCAACTTTTTCCACTTCGGTTTGAAAATGATAATTTCGTCCGGGCTCGTTCCCACATGGCATAAATACACCAAAAACACGATTTTTAGAGGACTTTAGACCTACGGAAGATTGGAAGAGCATTGGAAACTCAAAGCACAAAGATTCATCATTTTTTCCTCACCTCAACACCCGAGTTTGAATTGAATTCATGTTTTCTTAATGTCACGCCCCATTTTCTTGCGAAAGCGGGTTACGGCATCGTGACAACTCCTTTTGGAATGGGAGACAGAGTGCCAAAGGAGAAAAGCACCACCTAACGATTTTTAAGGTGCGTTAGGGCACCTATTTGCAAATAACTCTGTTTGACCAGTCAACGCCACCAAAGATCGGGTAAGGGATCAAATTACCTCAAAGAGAATGTGTTATGCACTCTTCAAGGTCCACAATTGTGGGTCCCGGGCGAACTTAAGATTATGTGGATTACTATTAAACTAGGTGATCAAATAAACAAAGGGAGTTCAGAAGTCAATTTTTTTTATTACAACATAATTTGTACAAGTCTTACACGAATGCAGGAATACAATTAATTATAATCACGCTCAAAGAAGGAAAAAGGAAGGGGGGGGGGGAGGTCCTAAGTTTTTTAGCCTAAAGGATCACCCCGTGCAACATAAATAATACTTCGCAACTCTTTCAGAATAGAGAGTTACTCGTATTATTCAGCGGGCACAGATTATCATTTCTTGCTATCCGATTACTATGTTAAAGTTGTTACCTAAAATCATTCTAATTCAATTCTAAGTCGTACCCTACGCGTGTACTACCCGTCCCATACCTATGGTCCAGGAGGTATTGGACCTCTATTTGGGTGGATCTAGACCTTACTTAGGATGCTCAGAAATATCATAACTAGGCGACATACAAAAACACATTGGACTTCACATATAAACGGTTAAGGCTCAAGTTTTGCCTCCACACTTAAGCAGCAAATGAACGCAAAACAAATTCCAATTAAGCAATTCAGAATTGAGAAACTTAAATCCCTATAGATGTGATTTCTATGTAACAAGGCATCAAGGCTTGCAAGCAGTTTCATAGGCCAAGCGTTGCTCATGGACATGATTATACGATTTGCATGCTGGTTAATGAAATTGAAGATTTTTGGTTATTAAGCCTGTTGTGTCTAGGTGACTCGTGCAATAAGGAATAATGAAAAGACTATTGGGAGGATCCCATAAGTGAATTATAAACCACATTGAGAGGTGCAACATTGACTCTTATTAAGACGAACAGTGATGTCTTATAGACAGGATCTCTAATGTTTAGCACTTGGAGCTGATTTTATTATTACACTCAATCCTATAAACATATTTTCTAGATAAATAGTGCGATGCAGTAGTGAATGAGATGATTAAAATCCTATAGCCATGGTTTCTAGTGAACAATGCAAGATAATAACAAATGAAGTGACCAAAATCCTATAGACATGATTTCTATTGGACGTGCTGAAGCAAATTGAAGGAAAGTTCAGTGACATTTGTTCCTATAGGTAGATTTTCTAGTGGCATGTAGCAGTAAGAATGATTGTAGCATTTGGATTCATGTTTGCTAGAAAATAGTGTGTATGTGTGTGTGTGTGTGCGTGCGCGCTTACCCTAATGACATGGTTTCTACAGTGCACATATAAATTAAACGACACATATGACAAGTAAATCAACGAGTCATATAGGCATGTTGTCTACCCCTTTTATACAGACATTAAGAATCTAACCCTTCCCCATTTTTACTAATACCCCATTGTTTATTACAAAGGTTATTACATACCATATAATAAAGTTGTTACAAACGTGGTCCAAATAATGATAGTAAGCCCACAATGGGTCCAAAGATATACCAGCACTGTCTGGGCCTTCAGCACTTCGGATGCAGCATACACAGACTTTCAATAAAGAGCCATGTTCATCAATACAACCCAGAATCCATAGAAGAGCTTAGAGCCAAATCACATAATCATATTGCCAAGCATTAAATTACTTAACCAACCAGCTTACATGTTCATAGGATAATAAAAAGAAGGAACTAGGATAATTCGGGTTCCAGCATTAGAAGAAGTGATTAGGGACCCAAATCCTAGTGTGTTAGAGTTCTCAAAGGTCTGAAATGGACCCCGAGCAGTGATCATACTAGGGAGGTTAGTAGTAAAAGCCTTGGTAGCCTTGGCTTTCAGTTGGCTAAAAATAAGGAGTTCAGAATTGCATAAGTAGTAAATGAGGGAGAATGGACAATGGCTAAGGGACAGAACTGGGGGTACACTTGTAACCTAAAGGAGACATAGCCAAGTTGAGTAACTAATCAAGTAGGCTAGTAGGTTCAGTAAGATTTCCACACACATCAAAGTACCACATAGATAGCCTCATACTAAAAGAATTTGGGGAAGCAACAGGTTTGTAGGATATACATCGATTATCATGCATGACACTAAACCAATTAAGACCTAAGAGGTCCAAATTAAGCTAAGTATGAATCCTAGGGTCATGCTAATCAGTATTTAGAAATAATGGAGGACACACATTGTAGTAAACACTAGAAGAGGGTATCAAATAAACCAAAGACATACTGAGGAATCATATTACAATAGAAATAAGATCATAGTCGATAGACAATGGTTTTAATTGAAACATATTGTACATGCAAGACAAACATTGCAAAGATTCAAAGCAGTGTGAGATAGCAAGCACATGTAAGTGTTCTAGGGTTGACACAATAGACTAATTAACTAAAGAAGGTCTAAGTTATGCCATAAAACAAAATGGTTCAAACAGGGCATGGGAAACAAGTTGAGGTAACTGTTAAGATCTTAATCAATCACTAATGGGGTATGGGGATCATATTGAATGACGTAATAGCAGGGGAACATATTACAATTAACATAGAAAGTTCTAGCACAAGTATGAAGCATTCACTATAGAGATTAAGGACAAAGCAAGTAAGCATGTTTTAGGGAATATTCAGACACCAATACACTGGCTAAACGAACTCAAGAGGATCAGATTATCCAAGTTAGACTTAGGCAAACTCAGAACTAGCAGCATTAGGAGGAAGTTAGATGCTAAAAAGACTTAGAACAAGGTAGAATTAACAGAATCTGTATAAAAGCAATCAGAAAAATATATTAAGCCAAGGATTTCAGATGTGAGAACACATGCAAATCAAAGACATATAGGGATGAAATTACAAAGTGAAGTAGCTTATAAGAGCAAAAGATCCACAAGAACCCAGAAACCTCGGTGCGTCAAGGTTCCTAAGAGCTTCAAAAGGACCGCGGGCAATGGTTGCACCCAAAAGAGCTCAAATAGTAGATTCTCAGTGGCCTTGGCTTTCAACCGTCCACCACAAAACAAAGAACAAGATAATAAAGGAATTCACACAGCAAAGCCTCAAGTTTTAGTGAGATTATATCGATTCAAGTCTTGTCTTAAAGGGGAATGGGGAAGGGTTTATATTGCAGTAAAAATTGAACGAACACAAAAGGAAACAAAGTAAATCAAACAACAAATAAGGAAAGAAAGCATGAAAAATCATTTCAAAATAAATTTAAGAGAGAAATCAGGTAAACCCTAGTTTTTTTAGGGAAAGCGAAATCAACAGAGATTTGAATGAAATCAGACTCACATAATATGGTATTAAACGTATATAGACGAAATAATACTCATAATCAATGATTCGAACCACATTTTGTTCGATTTCAGAAGGTATTGCTTGCCATGTTTAGGAAAGTACTTAGATAACACCATAAACGGACAACCAGTACCAAAATATGTTAAATATGGCAAAAGAATAATAGTCGAATCCCATTATCTGTGGGATTTGGAGAGGGATTAAGGGGAGGCGGATAGGGTTCGTGAAAATATAAGAGAAGAGAAGAGAGGATACATAGGCGGCTGGGCAGAGACAATAGTCTCTAGGGTTTATGTGGGAGATATAAGGAGAATTGGGGAAAACGTTGTGGGCCGTTGATCAATTTTGATCAACGACTAAAATTTTATCATGCTGGGTCATTTATTTTCCGGACTGGGCTGGGAATTGGGTCATTTGGAGTGGTCTTGGGGTAATTGGGATGATTCTAGTCTGAAAATTTGTTAAAAATTGGGTTGTTATTTAAATACACAAAAATTATCAAAACAATTTATAAAAATACT